TCCCCCCCCCCCCCCCCCCCGGGGCCCAAGAATTGATGAAATTTCTTATTTGCAAAATTTCAACCCAGGTCTATGTTATCCTGCTCAGTTCTCCAAGAAGTCATTAAATTCTACATTCCAAGTTAACTCGACAACCACGTATTGCATACAAACCTTGCTACATGGAACGCAAAAAATAAAATCCTATCCAAAGACTGAAGAGGAGGAAAACAAGAAAAAAAAGCCCTGATGTAAAACTACACGTGCAAGCCCATATACAATTGCTTACCTTTACACCACTGGTTACAGCAGTTGAACAGAGAGGAGATTCTTCTGGAAACTGAGAGATGCTTTTAATATTTCCTTTGCTGAGAAGTTTGATCATGCCATTGTGCAAGCGACGGCCATGTTCTTCTAACCATAACAACATAGCATCCTGTTGTTGGTCACTGTTGAAATCATGGACTGGACTAATCAATGCCTGAGGTACACATGGCATCATTTCTGCATCTGTTGGAAAATTCTGGGTCCCAACATAGAGTTGGCCATCAGAACAGTTCAGGAAGAAAAACTTTCCAATGTATGAGGATGAAGCAGCCACAACAATATACTTGGATGTATCGGGTAAGTTCAGGTGCCGCACTATTTCCCGTGTTTTAGAGATTACCTCACGTAGTGATAATAAGTAGACATTAACCGAGTGATTATAAAAACAGTAGCCACCTATCAGGCCCAATGGACAACCAGCCATGCCACTTGACGGATTTTTGCCTGAGAAATGTTGACCATCATGAAAGCGATAGAGGAGTCTTGTGGGAAGAGGCAACTTAACTTTCAAAATTCTTTCCAACTTTTGAATTTCAACTTCTGATGCACCCTTTCCTAGGGTAGCCTTAACTTCAGGAAAGTTTGCAGTCAACCAGCTCGTGAGTCTGTCCCAACAACTTTTAACTCGCTTTACAAGGGGCCAAGGATACATTCGAAAGGCTTCTCTCCATAATGTATAAGTTGCCTGGAGAAAGAGAGTGTGTGTATGTAAGTAAACATTTATGATGCCATCAGATGATTATAATATAAAATCCGAATCAACAAGGCATTAGTCCAAACTACAACTTAATGTCATCAAATTGAAACCCTTTTTCAGTAATCTCTAACTATGGCCATAGGCAATTACTACTTCTATAATCCTATGGATCACACCATTCCTGATGACCTCAGATAATTTTCTCCAAGATTTAGATGAATAAATATAAATTTCACTAATTTATTAAAAAAATGAATAACACATACCAAGAAAAAACAATAAAAATATGTGCACAGTGATAATTTTCAGCTTTTGGACTCGATGAAGGTCAAGCTAGGCGCCATCCCACCCAATTCATCATATTTTAAGATTAACCAGTGACCCTCATAAGAATAAACCAAAACACACGCTTCCTTCTTGTTTGCATACATGTCCACAAAGAAATCAGCAAGCCACAAAACCAAATTCTCAAGGACAAGGACATGATTGATTACCGTTCCAAATTGCACATCAAGACAAACAATCTAGTGCAAACAACACTATAAACTACCAAACTTTCTTCATAAAGAGAAAAAAAAAGAAAGCCAGAAAACAAAAATCAGCAACAAAACATACCAACAAGCTACAAGTCCAAAGGGCAAAGCAATTAATTGATTACAGTTCCAAGTTAATTCCAAATTATACATTTTGACAAGCAATTCAGTGCAATTAACACTCTATAAAGTTCTAATTAATTTATTACAATTCCAAGTTAATTCCAAATTACACATTTTGACAAGCAATTCAGTAAAATCAACACTCTATAAAGTTCTAAACTTCAACAAATTTTCTTCAATGATTGGCTGCAGAAAGTAACTACAAAGCTCCAAACTTTACCAAGAATTCATCATATATAGAAAACCAACAAGAACCCAGAATGTAAACATGATTGAATTTATCGTAAATTACCTTAAAAGAAGGCAGATGATTTCCATGATGGTCAAGAGGAGCAGAAAGATCAAGATCTTGACGACAAAATAATAACCAGAGAGATTCCTCTGAAGCTAAATCCTTGAACTTTTTACTGACACATGATACTTTTACTATCTCTTTTGGACCAAGTTTTGTTAAGATTATGTTCAGAGCTAGATCTCCCACTGATTCCAGCCCCATGTCTCTGTCTCACTAAATTATGTGTATGTTTCTCTTGCTGATTATGACGGGGGTTAGTTTTAGTTTCTTGGTTTTGCTTGTTTGTTGTGTGGGGATAGTAACGAGAGTGTGTGCTTAGTGGTATTCTAGTACATTACCGTTCCTAGCTGCAAGGGAATGCTAGAGACAATTTTTAAGTAATTAGATATTTTATTAATTATTTTATATTTTTATTTTATAAAATAAATAAATATGAATAGAAGAAAAAATTGTGATATAATTTTTATAAATTATAAGTTTTTTTTTCAAATTGGATCGAGAGAATAACTAATAAAATTTTATTAATTATTTTTCAATAACATAAAATTTCCTTATAAATTACAATTATAATAACAATTACATTACAAAATATACTAAAATGCTTAGCTAAAATGGATTTTTCTTTCTCTTCTCAATTTCTTTTTTTGACCTTTTCAATTGAAGCATTTGATGATCACTCTCTAAAAATTTGTTAAAGAAAAATAAAATTAAAACAAAAGGACTATAATGTAAAATAAAGAGAAACTACATGACTAATTTATAATCTATTGGTGAAGTTCTTTTTCATCCTTCTACTTTGCTTTATTTTTCTCTATCATACATATTTTTTATAAAAATTTAATTTTGATCTAAATTTTTATTTTTTAATATTTTAATCTCTTAATTAAAAAGAAAAAAATAAAAAAAAATAACTTGAATACAACAACAGGAAGAGGTTATCTATTTGATCACTTTTAAAAAACAATACTCATCGTTCTTGATATAAGTATGGTAATTATTATTTTTTAAAATGATTTTTATTTTAAAACATATTAAATAATATTTTTTATTTTTTAAAAATTAATTTTGATATTAATACATCAAAGTAATCTGAAAATATTAAAAATATATTTTTTAAAAGAAAAAAAAATTAATTTTTTTTAAAATTTTTTTCTGAAATACAATGTCGAACACACCTTAATAAGATGAGTTTAATAGTGATGAGTTTTTTCAAGAATTATGTTTAAAAAAAATCTTTTAATTTTTTTTTCCATATAAATTTGTGTTTTTCAAGAGATTTTGGGGTGTTATGTGTTGGTAGATTATTTTAGTCTAGAGAGATTTTTATAGTATTTTAAAAGTATATTCGAGATGAAAATAGCTTGAAAACCCTATCTCTTCTTCTTTTTTTTTTTTTCTTTTTTATGTTATAATCACTATAATGGTAGTTGAAATTTGAGATGGCGTTGAGGAGATGATGCATCTTTTATTATATATTTTTTATTATATCATTAAATAAAAAATAATATTAAACCTATATATATAAAAAGGGTTTTCCTTGAAATAACAGGGTTGCTCGATGGCAAGAGCCGAAAGATTCCTCTCAGGTTAAATCCTTGAACCTCTTGATACTTCTACTGTCTCTCTTTTTTTAAAAAAAAAAAAAAACCCTAAAAAGAACCCAATTAATTTTCATGAATTATTGTTTACAGAACAAAAACACCAAAGAACACCCTGAAGATCCCATTAAGCCCATCAAATCCAGGTGGACGTTAACATTCAATACTAGAGGGACCAAAAAGTAACTTCATCAAATCCCCAAAGCAAAATATGGGGAAGAAGGGTGAGATCCATTTGGAGTTTTATAAAAGGCCTGCCATTTCAATTGTTTCTTAATTTTGGTCCCTAATCTTCAATTTTCAATCATATTATTTCCTAAAAAATAAACCCTCAGCCTTTTCTGAAGATTATAATAACTAAAATAAATACAAATAAATTGTGAAGCCTAATCCTTAATAAATACAATATCAAAAAATTAAATCAAAATAAAAAAAACAAATTAAAGAATCAGATAAAAAAACAAGTTATTATGTGAATCTATAATGACATGTGAGGTGATAAACAATTAAATGAATCATTTTAAGTTATGTTTGATAAGTGTTCTAGAATACATAGATATAAAATAAACAAAAATATATTTGAATGGAAAGACAAAGACATTAATATAAAAATAAATCAGATTTGGATGAATTTATTATTATTCTAGAATTAAAGCAACAACAACATCTAAGTGGGGTGAATTAGGTGTTTCACTAATAATAATAAATATTGCAATTAATTCAATTAAACACAATTAATTCTTATATTTTTTTTATATTGGGTGAATTAGGTGTTTTTACTCTTAAAATAGCTTGTTTATGATATATATTTAAATTATATATATATATATATATAATCTTTTAATCAGATAAGTTACATATATATTTTTAGCAAAAATTAATTGATTTATAATTGTTATTGTTTATTTGACAGCTAAAATGACCAATAGATTTAGATTAATCAAGTCAATCAATCAACCTGTTTCTAAAAATTCTTAGGTTTTCATCCATGATAAACAAGCAATCAATTGATTTACTTGATATCATCAAACATTCAATCAATTTAACTTAAAATTCAGTTTTAAGAATTGAAAATTTATTGAATTTTAAACCTATTAAATGCATATCAATCCTATAATATATATAATGTGAAATATGTAAATTTATTTTAATTTACACTATGAAGTGAGATATGAATATTTATATAATAATACTAAAATAAAGACTTAATTATCAAGGATTCAAGCATTTATTTCCAGAAAAGAGGAAAGACACAGGGATATGTCATTTTTGTATCAATTATCTTCGTCTTTTTTGTTCAAGGCAATAACCAAATCCTAACATATAAACAATTTAGTCAAGATTTAATTAAAAAATAATTCAGTTTTATGTTGTAAAAGCTAATCCAAGAATTAAGATCCAAAAATGCTAAATTAAAAAAAAAAGAAAAAAGGAAGGAAAAATAGTTTTTTTAATTGAATTTTCTATTTTAGATGTAGTGAATTATCTATTTTAGAAGTAGAAAATTTAATCTCAACCCACTTGGAGTAATATATAAAATTAAAAGATCATTTAGAGATTTGACAAACAAAATAAAAAAACAAAAGGACTTCTTAAATGGTAAATTCTAAAAGAGATTATACATGTTCTTGATTGGTTTATTAATTTATCAATAAATTAAGATGTGTTTTATTCTTGGTGGAAAAAAAGAAAAGTAATTAAGATGTGTTTTCAATTCAAGTACATGATTCTAGCGCGTACTATGGGTGAGGCACATGCCCTTTTACCATTGTGCTACAAATCTTACAAGATGTCGTGCCATGGATTCCCAGGTCTCCTTCAAGATCAGTCATACATGACGCATCCAAAAAAACAAAAAATCATACATGGTATAGTTTGGAGTTGTTAAGTTGTTTAGTTACATTAAAGAATTCAAGCACATTCAGCCATTGATCCCACCTCTTAAGTCTATGAACTGCCACAGTTTCTGGTATGAGCTCATGCGAGCACCTCCCATTTGTTCCTGGATAATCATACATTGCAGGCTTGTTGGAGAACCTGTTTTTGGCCTTGTTTCCCATCTTCAACCATTTCCCAACCATCTTGTCTTCTGGCCCAACTGTGTTATTCTCAGGGATTTCAGACTTGCCAATCCATTCAACAAGGTCCCAGGACAACAAAAACCCCATCCCTGACATGTAATCCGCAAAGGGATTCATGCTATTGCAAGGGATTACAAAACCATAATACAGGTCTTGCCATGGTAGTGGCTGTAGTGACAAAGACAATGGCTCAAGCCTAATGAAAACATCATCATCAGCTTTCATGACATAGTCATAATGTCTTGGTAGGATATGCGGGAGTGAAGAGAAGTATGCATAGGTCTTGCCATTGTTCATATTCTCAATGCAATCAAGAATGATGATGTCGTTGAAACGAAGGATTTCTAGAGCTATGAGTACCCTTTGTTCAGGCTTTGTGAGATTGCAAAATACAAACTTCACATCAATTTCAGCTATCGAAGATGCTTGGATTCCATAGACAAGGCGAAGGAAATGGCGGCGATCATAGTTATCCGGGCAGGTTAAGATTCCGATCAGGATGCTAAATTTGGTTTCTGTATGAGGTGTTTTGGTGAGTGTAATGGAATGGTTGTTGGATGAAGTTAGGAGAAGTGATTTCACTCTGATGTTGAACAAGATGTAGAAAAAGAAAAGGAGGAAGAGAACAAGAGATGGCAGAGCAATGAGAATCACCCTCCTTTGCTTCATTATGGAGGCTGTTCTTGTGATAATGGCTCCAAGGCTGGGAAGATAAATATAAGAAGAGGGAAGATGCGGGAAGTGAAATCCATGCTCTGCTCTGTCATGTTTTGGCTGACAGCCCTTTGTTCGAGGAACTTTTGGTCTTGTAGTCATGCTTTTCTTCATTACAAGAAAGTATCAGGAGTTACCTTAACATGTGATCTAGCTTTACAGAGTCGTTATCGCATTGCCATTGTTCTGTAGATTAGAGTGAGATAGAGAGAGAACATGCTGTAACACCTTCAAGCATAGGGCTCACATTTTTGGGCAGGCAATTTTTAGATGTTTGATCAATTTGGCGTTCTACTTTTCAGAAATTAATTTTTCTGGTGGCCTCTCCAGCAAACTAGCAGAAAGCATGTTTATATAAAAGATGGTGGTCATCCAGCGGATCAACTCGGTGAACTGTTGACTCAAAGGATGATGAGGACTGAATTTAATTAAAAGAATATCATTTTATTTCTTAAAACAATATCATTTTAAAATAGAAAAATAAATTGGCTAACCCGAAATTTCAATCTTAGACTAGATCAGACCTTGAGCTAGGTCTTATAATATTAATCTACAACTCTAGTTTTAGATCAAATCAGATCATGAGCAATAACTAGAAAAAATTGAATTTGACTTATTGAAAGAAAAGAAAATCTTGGTAACTCCATGTTGAGAGAGAGGGGAACAAACCCATTTACATTCCTCAATTGACTACAAAATCAACCCAACCCTACCCAAATTCAAACCCTAGACAGCTATGATTTTGCACTTTCTCCTTGATATATATAGACAGAATAGCCAACCCTGGTAGTAGATTCTGTACAGAAGCCACTTGAGAGGAAAACTGGGTTCCATTTACCTGCACAAGGCAAAAGAAATCCTTGTTAGGTTCAATTCAAGATGCACAACACAACCAGTTCTTACTTTCAGCCAGGTTTCA